TTCAGCCTCAGTGAAACAAAAAGCATCAAACCAGCTTCGATGTGAAATTAAAAAATAATGAAACAGGAAGTTAGAGTTCAGACAGACTTCCTAATTAAATGAAACATTTATGATCGGATGTTTGTTTGATGTATAATTCATGTTAATGTACATATAAGTACAGTTCCTGTTTATTATCTAACACTGTGGTGGTGACGGAGCAAAGGGGGCGGGGCTTCCACTCCCGCGAGGACCACTCCAGTGTGGAGGAGGATGCAGTGATGTCTCACTCTGCTCATATTTCTGGGAACCAAAGAAGCTGCACTGCAGTTCATCAAGAACCTGCAGGAAACGCTGCAAGAGTGCCCACGTGGTGGTTGAAATAATAATAATAGTAATATGAAACTTCTGCGTTTTCTGGCCTTTTATTTGAGCCATTGCTGACTTACTTTTAACAGGTTATCTGCACAGTTTAAGGGTTTTTTTGTTGTTTTTTAAAAGCGTAACAATCCCTTAACTGAAACTGCACAGATAACTCAGATGGTGGAGAAAGAGTCAACCTGAGGGTTGTGAGTTCAGATATTCAACTACTTCTTCTGTCGATCCTCAGAAGACTCAAAGTGTCTCTTATTGTAAAAAGCCTGTCTTGAGTTAACCTCACAAACTGAACCAGAATCAGTCTCCATCATGGCTGATTTAATTCACTTTAATCACAGCAGAGGTTTTAACTCAAAACTTTGAAGGTGGTTTTAATATTCAGTTCGTCTTCATGGATTGCTCTCCCCTTAAATCCCTTAAACCCACAGATATAATATTTTATGTTCGTCATATATGATGTGTCTTAAGCACATTGAGTTTTCACATTGAGTAAGAGACACCTTAATCCAACAGTCCTGACCGAGGGGAAAAGATCACGTCAGTTTTTGGTTATGGTGTTTTAAGTTGCAAAAACCTTTGAAGTCAGCTTTACAAATAACTCTTTGATTCCTTCCCTAAAGAGTGGACATTTTCTCAGATCTGGGTGGGACTTGAGCCATCAACCTTTAAACTGTGAGAGTATTGTGAGAGCAACCCTCTGTCACACCCTGCAGCTCAGGGCTGGCTCTAGCTCATTGGCTGCCTGAGGCGATATTGAGAAAATACTCAGAGTCTACATACATGCATTAGCCATGTGGCTATTTTGTGAATGATTAAAAAAAAAAGTAAATAAAAATCACAGACTGTTTTTATGACTTAAGAAAAACTTGAATGTAGGCATACAGGAGCGCTGTGTGTGCAATAGTGCAATAACAAATACATTTTAAAGCCACATCCATTCTGTGTAGCTACTTCAACATACATTATGTATAACAGGCACTAAAATGGTCTCAGAACACACTGCATTGAAAGTTTTTGGAAACAAAAAAACTAAAATATTTTTGTTAAATCTGTTTCACAAATCTCCCACTCAGAATCTACAGACACGAATTAGCTAAGATGAGATAAATAAATAAACAATTAAAATAAAATAAATAAGTCAATAAGAATCACAGGGCAACATCAAACTAAGAATTTTCAATCACTTAAATTTACTAAGTCAGTCCTCACCTTGTCAGACAGGGCTGGCCAGTCAGCAGGATCAATGGGTGCTCACCTGATGGTCTTGTGGACATCTGAGCTTGTTGAGGCTGATGGGGTGTCTGCAGGCTGTGGTGTAGCAGCAGAGCTGGTTGTGCCCGTTGCTCCTTAAACCGGAGATACGCGATTGATAGCAGAGACAATACACCAACAAATGTCTTATCTGTATCCATGAAATGTGGAAAGATTTCTCACTGATCTTGTCAGTGCATTGTTTGTCTTTTTTTGTTTGGAGTGTTAAGTTAAAGCAACTCTGACCTTTCTTGCATTTCACACAGCACTTAGAAAAAATCTGAACATCCACAACTCCACCTCCCTCCAAAGGCCTACTCCCCCCTCCTCCCTACGTCCTCATTACGTCTATGACAGACGCAGGCGTTGGCAAGGCAACGTTAGATACACGGAATAGGAGAGCGAGTGTAACGCTACAACCAAGACAGTCAAACGCAACCCCGGAGTTTTAAAACTCAACCGGAGTCAGTGATGACTGATGAGTTTTAGAATAAGGTTACAGTGCTAATGTTAGATCAGGCATGTCCAAAGTCTGGCCCGCAGACCAATTTTAATCCGCCCTCAGCTTGACTTTCAAAACATATCATATGTGGTCCTTTACACAATAATAGTTAATCGAGCAAGATCACTTGGCATTTTTACGACAGGACTATCATACACTACACTGTAGACAGGCATCAAGTAGTAACAGTTCATTAAAAGATAAAAATGGTTGCATTTGTCTCACTTTAAAAAAACAAACAAACTTTTGATGCAAGAATCAGTTGTTTTATCTGGCCCCCATTCAAAAAAGTTTGCACACCCCTGCGTTAGATAGTAGTGTTAACGTTACTAGTGAGTGGAAACGCGCAAGGAAGATAACATTAATGTTTCAGAGGCTACGCTACAGTAGGCTAACGTTAGCCATTAGCAACTGGATGCTGTGTTGTCATATATAGTGTTATAGCCCAGGGATTCTTAACCATGGGGCCGCGGCCCGCACTTGGAGTGCCATCTAAAGGGGCTGCGAAACAAATTCCGTTTTGCACCTGTGGGCCGTGAGGGCCGCATACTGTTATGTTGACACACTCAGTTACAATACAGCCTCCCACCACCAAGCGGTGGGAGGCTGTATTGTAACTTTTATTATTTTGAATGTATTTATCACCACATAATATTATTTGTCCAATTCTAATTTTTCTTATCAGTTTTTTGAGAGGCCATCCTTTTTGCTGTAACTTGAGCCTTTTAAAATTGTTGTTAAATATGTTCTTGTAGCACATTTGTCCCATGAATTGTTAGCCTGTTTGGCATCTTGACGGAGGTGTAGATTTATATCCACATGATAAATAAATGTTTCTGTGATGATCACATTGTATCATGTAATTTATTTGATACGTTTTTAGCTTATTAATTGGAAGTGGATTTGATCTAGTTATTGAATACAAATCAAACCAATAGTAAGATCAATTAAACATGTTAATATCTGAATGGGCCCCGGGCCACATTGTACAAGAAAAGTTGGGCCCCAAGGTCAAAAAGGTTAAGAACCCCTGTTATAGCCTATGTTACATTAGAGGCAAACTGAAAATACCTGTCCAGCAGAAACTCTGCGACCATCTCGTCCCTTTTTAGCTCAGGATGAAGCTGCATCAGTCTTCACCATCGCTCGAAAGAAGAGCCGATGTTCACCCGAGTTTTGGCTCTTGCAGCATCAATGTTACACATTGTGGTTACGTCAGTCCAGTCCGAGGCCTCCACGTGGGGAAGACATTCGGACCGAATGCAATGATTGGTCGGCGTTTTCTTAGAACCAAATGAGAATGCTATAATTATGAGTTTGTATCTCTGGTGGAATTCACTTACATTTTAGTGTGCCATCAGCTTATTAATAGCATTTTAACCTAAACAAAGAAAAGCGTAATAGAAAGGTAAGTGTCGCTTTAAGCGATGTAAACCATTGGCCACAAGCAAGAATTCATCTGAAGCATACTATGTTAAAATTAACGTAGCAGTGTTTTCAAATTGTGCCCACCTGTTCAGCTCCTGAAGGTCAATGTAGCTTATGCTAGATAGCTAGCTATCATTGCAAGCAAACTCCTTCTCCCAGAATATTTGAAACAACCAATGCTCTATTTCTAAATTTAGTGGTACTGCTTAGAGAAGCGGCGACACATGAGAACGTACTTTCCAAATATTCGTCATCTTGTGAATCATATAATTTTTGACCAGGCAAGGTTCTAGCTAGCGCAATTCACCAAGCAGGCTTAGCTTACTAATAATAGAATGCACCAACAATGAAACCAGTGAATGCATACCTCTATACTTGGCTTTCTTCTCCTCCTCATCTTTCCTCCGTTTTCGCCCCCGTGCACCTGATGGTATGGACCTCTTCATGTCTGAATTGACCTGTGCTCGATAGCTGCTTGATCGCAAACAGCCTCCCAAGCTGCAACCTCGCAACGTCAAGATACATTTTCATTTCAGTATTTTCTGTCATTTTCGATATTTCAACATTTATTTTCAACAGTATCATTTCATTCGTTAAAGTTGTTTAGTGAAAGAGACCCTGGGGTGTTGGTAGCGTAGTGGATAGTGCCGGTGCCCCATGTACAGAAGCAATGCCTCGCTGCAGGGGTCGCAGGCTCGACTCTGGCTTGCAACCCTCTGCTGCATGTCAACCCCCACTCTCTCTCTCTCTCTCTCACCCCATTTCAATCTGTCCTGTCCATTAAAGGCAAAAAGCCCAAAAAAATAATCTTAAAAAAAGAAAGAGGTCCTATGTTTAAATTTGTCACCCTATATCGACTATATCGCCAATGATATAACTGTCTCTGCTGCAGCTAAACCATGTTTGAGGTGTTACCCCAGCACTTGTCTTCCCTCTTGAGCCAGAAGCTGCTCTTCTCTGCTTCTTCACTTAGATCTTTCAGGTTCTTCTTCTGGCGTGTTCCTGTTACCCCAGTTTCCTTCAGGATGCAAACAGCTGATGTAACGGCAAAGCTGCAGCAACCAGCTTTAAGTGGGCAGATGACTGTTCAAAATACAACCATTTAAATCTGTACACCCCTCTGAGCCAAAATATAAAACATAGTCCCTCCCCAGTGCTTAAAAAATGATTTAACATGCCTCCCCCTTTTTGCACCACACTCTCCCCCCTTATAAATAATGAACAGTCCCTAATGTGTGAATTTCCCCAGTGTGGGATTAATAAAGTATTTATTATTATTATTACTATCATTATTATTATTTTTATTACTATTCTTTTTTATTTATTTATTTTTATATACAGACAGGCGACAGTGCAGTACTTGAGTAAACGTACTTGGTAATATTCCACCATCCTTTTTCCCCCTGCGGAGTGACTCGTCTGTCTTCTACGCCATCTTTGTCCAGTCTCATCGCGAGCTCCTCCGCGCAGCCTCCCTGCATCCTAGCGCGAGCATCACTGCGCACCGAGCCGAGCACCGACAGAGACACCGACGGCTCAGTCAGCGGACATATGAGGTCTTTATTCCCCGGGACCAGCGGCTTGTTTTCGGTGTATTTCTCTCCCCGTCGCCTCTCTATGGATGTGAAGTAAGGGCGGGGCCGGTATTCAGTCGGTGTCCTCTCCATCTCTCTGCTCTTCTTCCCGCTCCGTCAGGACCGTACCCTGCCACAAACCCACAAAATGGCGGACATCGTCGAGCTGGGACCCGCCTACGGTGAGAACCAGCCCTTTCTGCTTCTTCTCTCAGCTGCTTAACGTCGAAATAACTGTCTTTAAACACCACGGGTCTTATTTTTATATTGTTTAACCGTCATTACAGCAGGTGTATCGGACTGAAATGTCCTGTGTCATCTCCACTGTGTGTCTACACCCAGTTAATGAAGCGTTATCAGGCCAACACCCGTTATTTTATAGCACATAAATGATCATTCTGCTGCTAACTGTTATTCACCGTCGTTACCAGCTCGAATAAACCTGTTTACATGTGATTATTTTACAGCAGACATGTTGGATGAAACAATAAAGCATCCACCGTTTGGTGATTAAAGCTAATCAATAAAAATAAAACACAACAAGAGAAAATATAAAATGAACCTTTATTAAAAACTGAGATTCATCCGACAATAAATAAATATAACATCATTCCAACAGACGCGTCAAACTGGGCGTTCTCGCGCTCCGACGCACCGTCTGCCTCTCCCGTGGGGCCTCATCAGCGTGCGTGCGCGTGCCACTCGGGGTGGGTATCGGGGGTGACGTCATGTCTGTACCCAGCGCTGTTGTGTGGGGACACAGAAACCCGACGCACCTGCACATATTACTGAGTGTAGAGTATTGAAGGAGGGGCCGAAGGAAAGTAATGGACACACATGAAATAAAGATGTCAGAGTGATTATTGATTTATGTATTTATTTATTGATTATTATTCATTGGCCAGGGTGTTGTACGAGGCCTCCTAAAGTAGCCTTCGACAAAGAAACAGTTGGTAAAAACTTGTAAAACTGTGAACCCATCAACAAGAGGAAAAAAACTCGAAATGCATTTTAAAAACAGGAAAAGGACAAATGATTTTTAAACAGCACTGACAGCAGTAATGACATGTGCACATCTAGAGTGACGCTGAAAACATACAGGACATATTAATACCAGCAGGGACGTCACCAGAGATTTTGGACCCCATGAGAAGACATCACATTCAGCCCCCCCACCACAGGCCACGCAAATCCTGTTCAACACTAGGGCTGGGTAATATGACCTCAAATCAATATCACGATTAACTAAACATTTTACCTTGATTACGATAAATGAACGATTATTATGATTTTGTTTTTTGCCCTCACGGTTCACTGACATGACTCCAGTCCTGGCATCCCTGCACTGGCTCCCTGTTAATTTCAGGATCCAGCACAAGATTCTAACCATCACTTACAGAGCCCTCCATGGTCAAGCACCTGCATACTTGACGGATTCTGGTGTCCTTTCACTGTCCTGTCAGGTCACTGCGGTCCGCTGAAGGCCACCTACTTACTGTCCCTCACACAAGATTAAAGACGAAAGGTGATAGAGCCTTTAAGGCTGTTGCACCGAAATGGTGGAATGCACTACCTCATGAGCTGAGAGCAGCCTCTTCCATGGACATTTTTGAAAAGCAGTTAAAAACACTGTTTGTTTAGGCTTGCGTTCCATTAATTGTCCATTGAATCATCTCTGTATTTCGCTGCACTTTACTTTTTATTTGTTTTTGTGTATTTTACATTGTTTCTGCTTTTGTATTTTTTGTATTTTATCTTGTGAAGCACTTTGTGAGTCCTCTGTGAGAAGTGCTATATAAATAAATTTACTTACTTACTGACAATATTTGTACTGTAAATACAGCATTTATTTAGTGTGCTGCAAAACAGCTGTAGCTCCATTGTTAGTTGGTAAAATTTAATTTAATGTATTTATTTAACAGGGACAGTGCTCAGCTACTTAGCTGCACCAGAGTTAGCTATAAGCTCATTTTCATCTTTAGTCCCTGGGCAGGAAACACAGAATAATTTCTCTGCCTAAAGACACTGTTATAAAAACCAAAAACACAAATACAAAATAGAACATAATCATGACACAACGGCTTCAGCAATAACAATATAAGTTATTGCAACAATAACAACAGCAACCACAGTAAGACATAACAAGCTTTCATAATGTTAGATCATGTGTTTGAGTTCATGTGTGATGGTACATGATCGTGTTGATTTTATTTATATAGCAAGTTTTTAACACACTCAAAGTGCTAACAACATCAGCCCAGAAAAGAAGAGGAGAATTTAAAAAGAAAAACACAAGGCATATACAACAACGTATAAAAACATGCAGACATTATCATGTATGACACACAGACACAGAAAGAATACAGCAGCCAGTCACCACCCAGTTATCCCCATTTAGATTCATGAATATTGTATCAGTGTGTCTGTGAAGCTGAAGTGCATGTACTGATGGCCAGGTGCAGCCTGTGTCCAAAACATTGCTGCTGTGTCCGTCTCATTGAGCTCTGCAGCTTTGACGACATCAGAGCTGTTTTCTGTCGTAATGGCCACGAGGTTCTCTTCCATGAGGTCCCACACAGGAAGCATATTTCTCAGGCCCGGTGCAGTCGTCTCTGATCAACTGGAAAATATGTCGTCTGAGTGCATCTGTTACGCAGCTCCCATTCATTGTCACTGTAGTGCAGAGTGAGGCTGGAGTGGGTTCATCAAGTGCTGAACAGATCTTAGTTCAGCAGGTACCTTTTTACGACATGAGTTGTACATGTTTGGCACTGCAGTTTGACGATGGCACAGAGTGTCTTCGGTGGAGGGCTTTAATGAGGTGTTAAAACCCACCATGCTCCACTGTTGCTATGGGAGATGTAACCTACCCATCTTATTATCACACACCTCATCAACCAGCACCACACCACTGTCCAGAGCCTTTGCAGTATTGCACTTTTTACATTACATTTGTCACTTAATACTCACTTGTGATTTTTAAATTAAAACGTATTTATGTTTTGCTGATATGATGCAGTATACACTAAACTACCCATTAGTATACATGCAAACAGAATCATAATATTTTTATCATAACCTAAGAAGCTCATGTTTTGATCATAGAAATAATATGTCTATGGTTGTGATACTTTGAAAGACGTCATTCTGCTTAATGAGTGCTTTTTACTTTTGATACTTTCAGTACATTGTGCTGATTATACCTCTGGACTTTTACTTCAGTAACATTTTGAATCCAGGACTTTTACTCATAATGGAGTATTTTTAAGATGTAGTACTTTTACTCCTAGTTAAGTAAAAAATCTTCTTTCACAGCTGGTTGTGACATCATAACCCAGATTTGACAGAGTGCTGCTGACCTCCTTCAGCTGGGAGCAGGACTGGTTCACAGATAGTGGGAGATACGGGGGAGGCAGGGTGCTGAGGGCACCACACAGGGACAGGGATGACTGATTTAGTGTGAATAGTTTTCTAAAAGTTTGCCTGTAATGATTAAACAGCAGCTTAGCGATGAGCAGAGTGGAAATTCACAGAATTACCTGTGGCAGTATTAACTGTGAGGGGAGCAAACACAGTCTGTTTCACTGTGAACTGAACGGGTTAACATCTGCAGTGACCCAAAGTTCTTTGTGAAGAATCAGGTGACACACTGTCTCTCTGTCTTTTCTCTCTGCTGTGTTTCTTATTGTTTTGATACACATTCCATCGACAGGATGCTCAGCTCCACTGACACGCCTCACTCCACTCTGCCAGAGATTACCATCTGCACCAGGTTTGAGGGCAGGACCAAACCATTTCATTAAAATAGAGGGAGGAGGAGGCACTGCAGAGGCTCTCTGGGTGTTTAGCTCTTTTTTTTTAACCAACAATAAGAAAAGATAAAGAAACTATTAGTATTAGCTGCACATTCTGAATAAAATCTTCTGTTAATGCCAAGAGGTTAATAATTCTAAGTTCTAGTATTTTTTAAGGGCCCTTGTCAGTCATGGGCCCTTAGATTCGTCCAAACGTTTCTCCCCCATACCCTGTCAGTGAATAGCAGCAGCAAGAAAATGCTGACATGTGTATGTATTAATCATCCGTTCTACTAAAGATCTGTATGGCTGCACCAACAAGAATTAATATAATCTAAGATTAGCTCTAAGTAGAGTTTAGTAAAACTCGGCTTAAAATGAGTAAATCCAGCTTTAAAATGAAGCAGTGCTCTGTTGCACCATTAAAATGAATCTCAGTTTAGTAAAGCCACATTTATTTATTTAAACTGAGTTGAATTAATATGGACAAGAATTAATTGCTAGTTAGTGTGGGTGAGAATCGCCAGAGGACCCACGATACGATATTATCGCAACACTTAGGTCGTGATACGATATTTACTATATGCTGCGTATTGTGATAAAATATGTTGTGATGTATGACCTTTTTTTCCAACTGCAAATTATTTCCTCAAAGGAAAACTTTGTCAACATCAGTTTGACCTCTTGAGGTAAAGTTTTCAGTCTGTTCATTGACTTTAATCATTTTTATTGCAGCAGAATGTGACAGAGCAGACAGACTGACCAACACTGTCATAACACCTGTCTGAGATGCTGCAGACACCTGACAGACTGAACTGTGGGCAAATTTAACGCCCTCTGAGAGGACAGATTAAGACCTGAGACAAACACTTCACATGCAGGTGTCCTGCTGACTGAGGGACAACACACATGTTAGAAGTGTCGTCTGTTACAGGAGGTCTGCAGTGTTTGCTCCACTGTGACTTTGGTGTCCTGAGACAGTGTCTCTTGTCCTCTGTCAGATAATGTCCTGCTGTAGTTTGGAGGACGTGAGACAGCAGTCTCCTGTCCTCTGTCAGATCATGTCCCGCTCTAGTTTGGAGGACGTGAGACAGTGTCTCCTGTCCTCTGTCAAATAATGTCCTGCTCTAGTTTGGAGAACGTGAGACAGCAGTCATACCTGGGGTCACATGTTTTTAGCATGTAACAAAAGCCTTGGTTTTTAGCAGCGCTGTATGGACGCAGATCTTTCACAGGCAGTAGGTGATGGACTGTTATCTTCTTGGCTGTCTCACAGTTGGATGGTAGTTGTGTCGAGTTCAGTCTGTCCTCATATTTTTCCGTCAAACCCTGGCCAACCCTGGAGAGCCACTTCTCTACTTGTCCTTGTTGTTATGAGGCATTTTTAA